TTTAGCTTCAGCCATTATGCAGTACAGGCCTCACATATGGTTGTGATAGATGCAGGTATGTGCAGTGAAACAAATGAGGCATGCAGTAGCTCCTTGTCCCCAGGGGCTTGCAATCATGCTTGAGAAACAAAATGTATGCACAGGAAACAATGAGAAAGCAATGGCCATAAATAATAGTGGACATACCATACTCAGTTATGTAGAAGGAACTTCTGAACACTGTACCCATGTTAATTGTTTAACCCTTATAAACCCAAGAAGTAGATACTATTATTATACCCAGTTTCAGATGGGAACATTGAAGCACTGAAAAGTTGGGTAATTTGCCCGACAGTCTGGGTCTAGACTGCATTCTTCACTACTACTCTACACACGTTAGGGCTTGATTATATGCCACAGTAAGTGCTAGAGACAACATGCACTTGGAGGATGAGTGGTGAGGACAGTTAGGTGCTGGATGCAGAGTTTGGGAGCAGGAGGAGTGTATTCCAGACCCAGAGAAAATAAGGCTTGGCTATAAATGTCTCGTAGGCAATAGCAGGAAATAATGCTAGGAGGAAAAGGTGAAGCCAGACTGGAGGGCCTTCAAAGTGAGGCAGTAGAGTTCAGATTTCAATCCACCAGTCCATTTCAATAAATGAAGTTAGTCCATTTAAATAACTTCCCTTTTTGGAAGGCTACATGTCTGGGCATCTGGAAAGGGGCTTAATAATCCAAGGAGGGGCTATAATGCTACATATCAATAAGTCATTAACAAAGGCAGTGTGTGATAAAAGCTAAATAAGGGGGAACAGACATTTTGTCTCCACGTGCCAACAATCCCCTAAATTTGTACTTTGTAGGTGGTTCTCCTTAGCGCCAGACCCTAACTCCAGGTGTTTCCTGTACAGCCGCTCTTGGATGACTCACAGGCACCTCAAATCTCACTTGTCATTGACTAAACTTATCTTCTTTCCCTCCTAGGTCTACAATGCTAACCATCCACAGCTCAGCAAACGGCAGCATTGTCCACCCAGTGCTAAGCCTGGGAGGCGCTCCTGCCTCGTCCCCTGCCCTCACCCTCAACACCCAATCAATTACTAAACCCTATTCAATTTTTCCTCATAGACTGTCTCTCATATGCTTCACAGCATCATCTAAGCCTAGATGAGCATCATCTCTTGCCTGAATGTATTCAACAGTTGCCCACTGGTATCCATGTTTCTGACCTTGCTTCCCTCCAATTCATTTTCCACTCTGCAGACAGCAATCTTCCAGAAGCACATATTTGATTTGATCAGGCCTGTACTTAAAATTCTCCAATAGCTTCCCATTCTTCCCATTGCTGTTAGGATGGTTTCTGAATCTCCTTTAGGCTTGGCTTCTACCTACCTCAACATCGTTCATTAACCCAGTCATTGAGCAAACATCCAGCACTTACTATATGTGAGGCAGTGTTGGGGGTGCTGGCTATATCCATGAACAAAAGAAACTAAAAAACTTACATTACATTACAGCTTACATTCTAACTGGAGGAGGCAGTCTATGACCATACCACCTGAATGCACTGATCTCATCTAATTGGAAGAGACAGACATAAATAAATGTATGAATATATTGGGTTAAAAGATAAGTATTATGGGCAAGGCGTGATGGCTCGCCTGTAATCCTGGCACTTTGGGAGGCCAAGGTGGGTGGATCACCTGAGGTCAGTAGTATGAGATCAGGCTGGTCAACATGGCAAAACCCTATCTCTACTAAAAATACAAAAAAAGAAAAAAAATTTGCTGGGTGTGATGTCGGGTGCCTGTAATCCCAGATACTTGGGAGGCAGAAGCAAGAGAATCACTTGAACCTGGGAGGTGGAGGTTGCAGTGAGCCAAGATCTTGCCATTGAATTACAGCCTGGGCAACTGAGTGAGACTCTGTCTCAAAAAAAAAAAAAAAAAAAAAAAAAGGCACAACAATGCCTATATAGGCTGAATGGAATGGGCAAAGGGGAAAGCAGTAGAAGAGGTCAGATTGGCAAAGGAGGCAGATCGTGTAGGGATTGTAGACTCCCGTAACCCCCAGCTGTTGAGTGTTCTGTAGAGTGCGAGATACGGCAGGGTGTAGTAGCCCACACCTGTAATCCCAGCACTTTGGGACACCAAGGCAAGGAGGATCGCCTGACTTTGAGACCAACCTGGGCAACACTGTGAGATCTCATCTCTACAGATAATTTTTTTTTTTTTTTTTTTTGAGACGGAGTTTTGCTCTCGTTACCCAGGCTGGAGTGCAATGGCGCGATCTCGGCTCACCGCAACCTCCGCCTCCTGGGTTCAGGCAATTCTCCTGCCTCAGCCTCCTGAGTAGCTGGGATTACAGGCACGTGCCACCATGCCCAGCTAATGTTTTGTAGTTTTAGTAGAGACGGGGTTTCACCATGTTGACCAGGATGGTCTTGATCTCTTGACCTCGTGATCCACCCGCCTTGGCCTCCCAAAGTGCTGGGATTATAGGCGTGAGCCACCGCGCCTGGCCTCTACAGATAATTAAAGCATTGGCGGCTAGGTGTAGTGGCTTATGCCTGTAATCCCAACACTTGGGGAGGCTGAGGTGGGCGGATCACCTGAGGTCAGGAGTTCAAGACCAGTCTGGCCAACGTGGTAAAACCCTATCTCTACTAAAAATACAAAAGTAAGCTGGATGTGGTGGCTCACACCTGTAATCTCAACTACCTGGGAGGCTGAGGCAGGAGAATTGCTTGAATCTGGGTGGCAGAGGTTGCAGGGAGCCAAGATCACACCACTGCACTCCAGCCTAGGTGACAGAGTGACTGTCTAAAAAAAAAAAAAAGAATTAGTTGGACACATGGTGGCATACACCTGTGGTCCCAGCTACGTGGGAGGCTGAGGCAGGAAGACAGCTGGAGCCCAGGAGATTGAGGCTGCAGTGAGCTAAGATTGTGCCACTGCACTCTAGCCTGGGAGAGAGACAGAGCGACAGACTCTGTCTAAAAATAAAATAAAAAGGAAAGGAAAGAAAAAAAAGGAGAATATCAGATACCATCTAGGAGGCTACTGTGATAATCCAGGTGAGTCTGTGATAATCCAATGTGAGAGATTGTGGTGGCTTGAACAGGATGGTGTTCCAAAGTGGTGAAAAGTGGTCTGATTTTGGATAGACCTTTATACCTTGAAGGCAGAGTTATCAGAATTTCCCTGCAGATCAGATGTGGGGAGGGAGAGAGAGAGAGGAGTCTCACGTTTATTTTTAGCAAATGAAAGAATATCATGCTATTAACTGAGACAGGGAAGACAGTGGTGAGAGAAGCAGGTCTGGAGAGAAGGTCAGGATTGGTTTTGTACATGCTAAATTTGAGCTGCTTCAAACTGGAGGTGCCAAATAGGCAGCTGAATATAAGAATCTGGATTTCATGAAAGAGATCAGGGCTAGAATACAAAGTTAGGAGTCGTCACCCAAGAGATGGTATTTAAACCATGAAACCTGACAGCAGGAGAGAGTATCTGAAGAGAAGAGGTCAGAGGAGTGAGGATAAGAGGTTGCAGTAAGAGCCAACGCTATTGAGAAGTGAGGTGGCAGTAAAACAGGACTGTTGATGTCTTACAACCCAAGTATGGATACTGTGGGCAGGAGGCCACTATTCAATTGTATCAAATATTGCTTTAGATGAGATCTGAGAAACGGATGAAGCACCTCAGAGGTCAGCACTCCCTCCCCAGTAAGAACATATCAAACGTCAATTCGTTTCTCTCCCTCTTTGGCTGCGAAACGTGTTTTCTGCTCATTACACCTCCCATTTGTTTTTCAGTTCTCAGCTTAAAGGTCCTGCAATCGGAGAAGCTTCTCAAGACCAATGCTATTGTCACCAGGGAAACGACACTTTATCATGGAAATATATTATTCTAAGAGTCTACGTAATTGTCTCTCCGCTGGGCTTGACTGTAAGGTCCTTAAGTCAGACGTGTCTATATGTTGTTACTTCCGTACTCAAATATTCGATTGAACTCCGATCACAGCGCAAAGGTCGTAGTAGGTTTCCCAAAAATATTTACAAAACCAATGGATAAATGCTAGGAACACTTAGTGGCGCGAGCGATTACAGTACTTCCTATTGGCCTAACTTCGGGGGTGCCTAGAAGGGAGTGCCTAAAACTAGGAGTGGGCGCGGAGGTCTCTGGCCATCGCTTAGCCTCCTATTCCATTACTTTTGCAAGTCCCCTGCTGGACACTTTTTAGCTGTCCCCCCTGCCCCACTGCTAGCCACTGTCTTGCTCGGACCTCCTCCCAGACACTCACCCAGCCGCGTGGTACGTTCCTGCGGCGCCGGCGGCTTGTCCCCAGTCCCATGCTCGGCCTCGAGCTCCTCCTGTTGCTGCCGTGCTTGCTGCAAAATCCGTCGGCTCAGCCGAGGCCCCACATACTCTTCCTCCTCTTCTCCGGTGCCACGACCCCGCCGCTTCTCCCGGACCCCTGCCCGCAACGCATTCCCAGCCAGGATCTGCTCAGCCAGGGGCGCATGTTTTTCCTGACCCCCGGCCCCACGGGTCGCCTTGAACTTGGGCATTTTTCTTGAAAAAGTTGCCAGGAAGTCGCACGTGGGGACGACGAAAAGGCCAGAATACACTTGCGCGGTGAACTCCCACCTCCCAAGAGGCCACGCTGCGATCACAGCGCCCTCTAGCTATCGGAGGCCAGAAGCGCCATCAGCGCCGCCCCTCCCACTAAAAGAGCTCCTGGGTTCCGGAGCTGGACTCCCAAATACATTCACTGCCTTTAACGTTGGCTTCTCTCAATAGTGCAGTCTAAGTGTCGTTCTCCTAGCTTCATGGATCTAAGCCTAGAGTGCTCAGCCAAGCGGGAATTTCCAGCGCTAGAAACATGGGGGCGGGAATTCGCTGATTATGTCACTGGTGGCGTCACCAAGGGGTGCCGAGACACGCCCCATTCCTTGGGGAAGGCGTGGACCCGGCGCTCTGTTTTTACGTATTTCCGGAATCCCTTCTGCGACCGAAGCCGGCGGACTGGGAAGGACGCGTTTCTACTGTGTGATCCTGCCACCTTCCTTGCCCGACGCCATGGGAGTGACTTGGTAGGACTTGGCAGGGGGTTTTGTGGGGCGGGATTTGGAGTTGTGAAGGGCTGGGAAGAGGTCCTTGATCATGGTCCGCCGTCCCTTGGGAGCTGAGCGAAATGTCCTCGGGTTATGTGGTTAAGAGGATACCGTGCAGGCCGCGGGTTCACCGGGCCTTTTTCCTCGGAGATGCGCTCCTACCTCTTGAAAGGCGGCAGAGCAAAGGTTTTATACCAGGGACCTATCAGTGGTTGTGTACCTCCTTCCCTTCTGGGTACATTTTCCTTCCCGTGAGTCCACAGTACTGTCTGCAATGGAACCTGAAGGTTGGAAATAGGGACTTTGGATTAGGACCTACCTGCAGACAGGGTTGGAGGGAGTAGGTTAAAAGCAAACAGGAGACAGTATTTTTTTTGAGATTTTCGCCCACCCTTCTCTCAGCCATCAAATGCAGTTAGACCAGCTTGTGTCTGTTTATAATTTGCCCATTTTAAGATTTTGGGTCTAGAGGAAAAAAGAGGCTATTGATAATAAGGAGATCGTGGTTCCAGGCACTCTTTAGGACCTGCTTCTTACTATGTTTAATTCCATGGTTGGTCTAGTTTCAATGGAGTTATCTTTCATATGTTTTAACTCTCAGTTGGAAGATGAGGTGGCAGGGAAAGGTATGGGTACAATGCTCCTGGAGGCGTTAGTTGTAAGGTGCTAGGTCCCATTTTTTTTCCTTATCGCAGGAGGTGTGAGCATCTTTCCTGTGGGAGAAGCCCGGGGGCCAGGATATCTGAAGCCAGTGGCTATAGGCTTCTCATAAAAGCGTGTGTAGGGGAAATACTTTTCCTCCTGGTAGCCCCGTTTCTTGCGGGTTTCTCAGTGATTGCACTCTTGTTTCCCACAGTTGACATCCTCCTCCTCCTGTGTTCCTTAATGGAAGCAAGATACGTGAAAGATGGAAATGGAACGGATGCAGTGTAGAACCCTGGAACCCTCTGCTCTTTCTTTAAAAAGAAACAAAACAAAACAGAAATTGGATCTTGCTGTTTTACACATGTGGGTTTTGAATTTCTGAATTGAAGCAAGCCTCCTGCTTTGGTCTCCGAAAGTGTTGGCATTACAGACATGAGCCACTGTGCCCTGCCACCCCTGCTCTTTAAATGGAAAAGGCAGCTCCAGGGAAAGGGCTCTCTGTTGGCACCCTTAACAACTTTTTCAGAATCCTAGGACTTCTGTCCCTTGTAGCATCCGTTAGGGATTCTTTTATATTTCAAAATAAGACACATTAGCAGCATTGTTTATCAGTTCTTTTTCTGATAGAGCAGTGACAACTTTTTTTTTTTTTGAGACAGTTTCTCTCTTTCTGCCCAAGCTGGAGTACAATGGTGCGATCTTGGCTCATTGCAACCTCTGCCTCCTGGGTTCAAGCAATTCTCTTGCCTCCGCCTCCCAAGTAGCTGGAATTACAGGCATGCACCACCATACCTGGCTAATTTTCTTGTATGTTTAGTAGAGATGAGGTTTCACCATGTTGGCGAGGCTGGTCTCAAACGCCTGACCTTGTGATTCACCCACCTCGGCCACCCAAAGTGCTGGGATTACAGGCGTGAGCCACTGTGCCTGCAAGCAGTGACAATTTTTAGCAATAGATGGACTCTACCTTAATAGATTCATTTAGTTGATCATAAAGCAATGTCATCTATGACTATTTGCTTGATTTTTATATAGCTGAGTATTGCCTGCACTATTGTTTATTAATTTTTTTTTTTTTTTTTTTTGAAGAACTGATCTTTTCCTTAAAAATCTTAGCAGGCGCTACGTCCCTATATAGGCAGTCTAGTGAGTGGTGAAGAGCATGGACATTGGCTGGGTGTGGTGGCTCACACCTGTAATCCCAGCACTTTGGGAGGCCGAGGTAGGCAGATCACCTTTGGTCAGGAGTTCAAGACCAGCCTGGCTAACATGATGAAACCTTGTCTCTACTAAAAATACGAAAAATTAGCCAGGCGTGGTGGCACTCGCTTGTAATCCCAGCTACTTGTGAGGCTGAGACAGGAGAATTGCTTGAACGTGGGAGGTGGAGGTTGCAGTGACAGAGATCACACTCCAGCTTGGGCAACAAGAGTAAAACTCTGTCACCAAAAAAAAAAAAAAAAAAAACCAAACAACAATAAGAAACTTGCCTGGACATGAAGCCAGGTTGCTGGGCTTTCAGTCTTGGGTGTACCACCCATTAACTGTGTGACCTAGTACCAGTTATTTAACCTCTTTGTACTGTACCTCAGTTTCTTCTTTTTTTCCAGATGCATTTTGCTGTTATTGCCCAGGCTGGAATGCAGTGGACAATCTTGGCTCACTGCAACCTCCGCCTCCTGGGTTTAAGTGATTCTTCTGCCTCAGGTTCCTGTGTAGCTGGGACTACATGTGCACACCATCATGCCTGGCTAAGTTTTGTATTTTTGGTGGAGACAGGGTTTCACCATGTTGGCCAGGCTGGTCTCCAACTCCTGACCTCAAGTGATCAGCCCGCCTTGTCCTCCCAGAGTGCTGGGATTATAGAGGCATGAGCCATCGCACCCGGCAGTTTCCTTATTTGTAACAAATTGATAAATAACACACCTTCATAGGACTGTTGTGAGGCTTTGGAGAGCTAATTCATCTAAAGGCCCTAGGACACAGTCTGGCACATTGTTGGTTGGCAGTTGTTGCCTACCACTCTAAAGGGGAAGCCACCATAGGAGGTTCACTCACCATAGGAGGAAATCTTGGGAATAACATTTTTGGTTTTGTTCCATTGTTTTGATTCAATTCTTGTGAATACTGTTGCCTCTCATTCCCAAAGATTATAAACTTGAAGGCTGCTTTTTACTTTGTTCCTAGGGCTGTTGAATAGAACTTTCTGTGTTGATGGAAATGTGCTCTAACAGTAATGTCCAATATACTAGCCCCCAGCCACCTGTGGCTCTGGGCTACTGTGTAGAACAGCTCAGGTTCACAGAGTTGGTAAAAACATATTAACCCCAAACTGAGACGTTTTCCTTGATATAGTCAGAACTGAAAGAGTTGCAAAAAGAATCCCTTTTTCTCTGTTTTTTTTTTTTTTTTTTTTTTTTTTTTTGGAGACAGTTTCACTGTCACTAGGCTGGAGTGCAGTGGCACTATCTCAGCTCACTGCAGCCTCCAACTCCAGGGTTCAACCGATTCTCCTGCCTCAGCCTCTCGAGTAGCTGGGATTACAGGCTCTCGCCACCACGCCCGGCTAATTTTTGTATTTTTAGTAGAGACGGGGTTTCGCCATGTGGCCAGCCTGGTCTCTAACTCCTGACCTTGTGATCCACTGCCTCAGCCTCCCAGAGTGCTGGGATTACAGGCGGGAGCCACTGTGCCTGGCCAGAATTTTTTTAAATTAAAAATAATATTAAAGTTGTAGGGTTTGTGAGACAGTCAAGAGTAGGTAATTTCCAAGATAACTTTGGGCCTTGATGAGCTGTGATGCTGTGGGCGAGTGTGTGGCTCAGTGACCACATGTGTGTCTCTGGATACTGATGATTTGGTGCTCTCCTTTCCAGTGTGTCCCAGATGCCTGTGGCTGAGGGCAAGAGTGTCCAGCAAACCGTAGAGCTCCTCACTCGGAAATTGGAGATGCTTGGAGCAGAGAAGCAAGGAACATTTTGTGTGGACTGTGAGACGTACCATACTGCTGCCTCCACCCTTGGCAGCCAAGGTCAGTGACATGGGTCTATAGGATGAGTGGAACCAGTCTTGGAGTTAATAGACATTTGTGTTCATTGAAGTCTTTCTGCTTTTCTGCTAAGGGTGGTATTCATGAACAGGTGGCGAGATGTGTTTCTGAATTTATTAATTCTTGGCTCCTTATCTCTTAGACTAGGGCTTTTTAAAGCTTTATTTTATTAAATTAATTTATTTATTTGAGATAGGGTCTTATTCTGTCACCTAGGCTGGAGTGCATGGCATGATCACAGCTCACTGCAGCTTTGACCCCCTGGGCTCAAGTGATCTTTCCACCTTGGCCTCCTGAGTAGCTGGGACCACAGGCATGATCCTCCACGCCTGGCTAATTTTTAAAATTTTTTGTAAGGACAGGGTCTCCCTATGTTGACTAGGATGGTTTTGAATTCCTGGCCTCAAGGGATTATCCGGCATTAGCTTCAAAAGTGCTGAGATTATAGGCATGTGCCACCACTCCTGGCTAAAGCTTTATTGAGGTACAGTTGATATACAAACAGTTGTATACATCTAATGCATACATCTTAATGAGTTTGGATATATGCATACACCTATGATACAATCACCACAACCAAGGTACTAAATATATCCATTAC